TTGGGTGCATCACTGTTTATTGTACAGAAACAATGAGCACGATGCAAAAAATAAAAATTAAAGTTTTTGCTTCCAGTCTTGTTTCTAGTAAAACATATTGTTGTTTTAAGAAATAATAAGTCAAAATTATTTCCTCCAATTTTAAGTGGTTTTCCTTAAAACTAGAAAATTAGTGTGTCTATGGGGTACATAAAATAATTTTATAAATACCCTATTGGCAGATTATTTAGATTGTTTTAAAGAAAAATGTACTTAATTTAGAGCTATTATTTCCGAAAACAAGACAATATTTTACTTGTCTAAAAAAATGCTTCTTGGTTCATCTAGCATGTTTTTAGTTATGTAGCAAGCAAAACTTGGCATAATGTGCAATTTTTTATGCATGCAAGGATCACTGGTCTTACTCTCTCACACGCTTTGTCCTAAAGCCACTACTGTATGCTTAGTGGTTGAATTACACTTATTATTAAGCCACACTTACATGCTATTTCAGACCGAATATCCAGAGTAGCGGTAAACAGTATAGGGAGCGCGTCACAGGCTGGCTTTATTCAAAAATGAACCAATGCGAATATAAAACTAATTTCAGCTCAGTAAAGCAGGCTAGGCGCAATGGCACTATTTACTGATGTTTTGTTGTTAAACGAAATAAAAATCGTCATTATCGATGGTGTAAAAGGTCTCTTATGAAACTGAAAATAGTCACCGCAATTGTTCGCCGGAAGATTTCAGTGGCCGAACAACACTTCTGTGCATATAACTCATTCATAACAACACAATCTACTTCAGCTTTGCGTGACTAAAAGAGTTTTAAAACAGGACACAGAACACAAATCTTTCAGCCATGGTGTCGTCCTTCCTCCAAAACTAACTCCAATATGGATTCAGGATTTGTAAAAGTTTTGATTCAGCATTCGTTTTTACTACTCTCATTCTCTCGTGTGCAGGTAAATGCGCTCAGTTAGGGCTACTTATTAAATTATGGGAATCATCAGCCTGACAAAAACTGGATGAACTTTTTTTGTCTTATGTCTTACCCAGAATATAAAAATACACATAAATACATTGAGATGGTTACTTTAATCATTGCTATTGGAATCTGAAGAGACTTTCAACCAGCACAATAAAAAAGCTTTTCTGAAGACAATCACCTACTGCACCTTTAAAATGCGAGAAGATTAAAATCCAAGTTAAGTAAAGGAGAACGAGGAAAAGCGGAGAACGGGTAATCACTGTTATTACAAGTGATCCATCAAAAATATGTTTTACCAGTCTAAAAAAATGCTTCTTGATTTAAGAATTTTGCAGTATTTGGACTAAAAACAAGACAGAAAGGCAGAGTAAAAAATCTTCTGTAAGTTTCTGTGCATTAAGATGTGAGAAAACCAAAATCCAAGTTTAATAAAGGAGAATGAGGCAAAACGGAGAACGGGTAATCACTGTTATTATGTGCGATCCTTCAGAAATATGTTTTACTTGTCTGGAAAATGCTTCTTGATTTAAGAGTTTTAAGGTATTTGGACTAGAAACAAGACAAAAACTCTAAGTTAGAAAAGCTTTTGTAAAGTTTCTGTACATTAAATAAGCCAGACAACCAAAATACAAGTTCACTGAAGGAGAACGAGGTAAAACGGAGAACGGGTAATCACTGTTATTACATGTGATCAATCAGAAATATTTTTCACTGGTCTCACTTTATATTAAGTGTCCTTAACTACTATGTACTTACATCAAAAAATAAATACAATGTACTTACTTTGTTCATAAAGTATTTGAGAACACTTGTGGTGCTCTTGAGTTGGGATAGGGGTTGGGTTATGGACAGGTTTGGTGGTGTGGGTAGGTTTATGGGTGGGTTAAGGTGTAGGGAATGGTCAGCAGTGTATTTACAAATGTAATTACAGAAGTTAATTACAGATGTATATACATACAGGTATTTAATCAAGCAGAAGTACACAATAAATACATGTATTTACACAATAAGTACATTGTAACAAACAATTGTATTAATTCCTGTGTAAGTACATATTAGTTAAGGCCACTTAATATAAAGTGGGACCTTTTTACTCGTCCAGAAAATGCTTCTTTATTTAAGAATTTTAAAGTATTTGAACTAGAAACAAGACAAAAACTTCTGTAATTTCCTGTTAAGTTTCTGTACATTTAAATGCAAGATGACCAAAATCCAAGTTCATTGAAGTAGAACGAGCTAAAACAGAACGGGTAATCACTGTTATTACTGTACATGTAATTGTTCAGAAATATGCTTTACTGGTTTGGAAAATGCTTCTTGATTTTAAAATTTCTAGACATTTGAGCTAGAAACAAGACAACAACTCCAAGAAAGAAAAGCTTCTGTAAGTTTCTGTAAAGTTTCTGTACATTTAAACCAAAATCCAATTTTACTGAAGGAGATTGAAGGAAAACAGAAAACAGGTATTCACTTACATGTCATGACATATGATTATTCAGTATGAAATATTTTAGTTGTTTGGAAAATGCTTCTTGATTCAAGAATTTTTAGGTATTTAGGGTAGAAACAGGACAAAAACTCAGAAAAGCTTCTGTAAGTTTCAGTATATCAAAATGCAAGACCACCAAAAAAGGAGAATGAGGGAAAATGGAGAACGAGTCATCAATGTTATTACATGTGATCCTTTAGAAATATTTTTTACTTGTCTGGAAAATGCTTTTTGATTCAAGAGTTATTAGGTATTTAGGTTAGAAACAAGGTCTGTGGTCCGACATGTCAGCTTTATGATTAATCTACAATAGCAGATAGAGCTTTTTGCTTTTAAAAGAGTGAACTTTTAGAAAAACTCTTGGTTCTGCTGCTCTTTGGTAGGGAAAAAAATCTGGTTTCTGGCAAGGAAAAAGCTCTTACCAGGCCTCCAGGCAAAATGGATGTACAGTACAAGTCTCCCGAGGTTATTCAGAAAGTAGTCATATCCTCTTAAAAAGATCTTCTGTGGTTTTACAGCTGTTCAAAGACAGAGCTGCTCTCTTAGCCCACGTCTTGTCATTTTCTTTTTCTCTGCTCTCGCTGAGGTGGTTGCCGCTGTCTTCTGCTAAATGTCGATTCTGAGACTATCGCTGGCCAAAAATATGTCAGACTGTAGTCTGGAGTCTTGAACTTTATACAGCGGTGCTCATATTCGTGTTATTATCCTAAAATCAGAGGAAGAAAAAAATCTGAATCCAAGTCTGACAGCGCAAATATGCAAATAAGGATGTTAAGCCAAGGTTTAAGAAAGTACAATATGAAACATCCGCCTTATTGTTAGGATTAGTTGCTAGCCCTGTGAAAATTATGAGTCATGAAAATAATTATGCAATGTCAAACATGAAGCAAGGCAACCCTGAATATTGTCCAAAAATGTAATTTTACTCATTATTTCCTCAACCTCAAGTGTTTTCAAACCATTATATGTTTCTTTTTTTCAATATTTTGAACGTAAAAGAAGATTTCTTTCATTTAAGGTGACATTTACACCACCTGACACCACCTGTTTTAGGAAAAACAAGTAATAACTTGAGTTCTAGTTGATCATTTGGTAGCAGACGACTTATCAAGACTCTTTGTGTTCATCCTCAACGCCTCCTCCTTCATCTTACCCCAGACATGATCAATAATGTTCATGTTTGGTGACTGGGCTGGCCAATCCTGGAGCACCTTGACCTTCTTTGCTTTCGGGAGCTTTGATGTGGAGGCTGAAGCATGAGAATGAGCGCTATCCTGCTGGAGAATTTGCCCTCTCCTGTGGTTTGTCATGTAATGGGCAGCACAAATGTCTTGATACCTCAGGCTGTTGATGTTGCCATCCACTCTCTAGATCTCTCGCACGCCCCCTTACTGAATGTAACCCCAAACCATGATTTTTCCTTTACCGAACTTGACTGATTTCTATGAGAATCTTGGGTCCATGTGGGTTCCAGTAGGTCTTCTGCAGTATTTATTATTGGTTGATCTTACAACTGGGATTGATGACAAAACTTTGGTCAGATGGCGCACACTTGTTCCATGCGCTTAGTATAGTAGTTACAATGATTTATATACTATTACATGTAACTAACTCTAAATCTAACCCGCAATATAACCCCAAATATATAAAAAGTACACGTAATTAATTAATATTACACATTAGTTAAATGAATAGCATTGCATGCAGTTGTCATTAACTTCAATAGTGGAGGTAAAAATACTTCGGAAGTTAATGGCAACTGGTTTCCATCATTCTTTAGTCCTTTATATTGAAATAGTCATTGGAAAAACATGGAGTGCATCTGAGGAAGAACTTTTCAATCAATGTCAATGAAGTTAACTAACAGTATATGGTTCTGCTGCTCTTCTGGTACTTCTTATAAAGGTTAAAATGACAACAAAGCATAATATCACAGTGAAAAAGCAGCTCTTATGTTCAAGATGGCATTCAGCTAACTAGCATGTCAGTCGTCTTCACATTAAAGCATGTTTTTCTTACACACTGCTGTGGTTTGCAGTTAAGAGGAGATCACACTTGAGTCGCACCTGAGAACAACTAACACATTTCATCTACACTTGCTGTCACATTAAATGTCGAATAATTACTGACAGAGTACACATTTAAATAATACAAATAAATACATTTGTGATTACTAGAAATGGCTATTTTAATTAGGCAATCGCTATATGCCGGAATAATTGGTGGTTCATTCCGCTGTGGTGAGCCCTGATTTTTAGGGGACTAAGCCGAAGTTGAATGAATGATTATATTATAAATCTAGTAACGTGCTATTCTGTTATGTGACTGTAGACCCTTCAACATATCGGATGGTTCATTAGGTTTAAGAGCGGTGTTTAGGAAGCATTTGCACTCCTTTACTGCCACATTAAAGCCACATATAATCCACGGGTAAAGCAAATGTAGCGTTTAGCCTGCCAGTGTATGGTCTAATCCTGTTTTTGCTCTGTCTGCATCCTGATTGATGTAGTTAACTCATGTGCTTCCTCTTTCTTTCAG